CCACTCCTCTGGGGGCTGGCGCTGGAGGAGCTGCTCGCAGCGGAACCCGCACAGCTGCCTACGGAGGGACGGAGTCGAGATGAGAGGCCACAGGATCTACACGGAGCTGCTGTCTGCAGGATGGAGGACAAAGCTCCTGCCAGAACACTGACACTGCAGATCTTACAAACTCCTGTCCTGATGTAATGCATCACTGGGTGGCATGAGGATATCTACTGTCTATTTGCTATTGGTTATTAAAATTCCACCTGTATCTCCTCCTGCTGGTGTGGGCCTCTCTTTTCTTTATATACCCATCAACCCAGCTCTGCTTACTGCTCTGCGAGAATCCCCGTTGGCTGCTTCTTCACAGAGACACTGTCCCTGCTTTCCCTCAAGGGCTTGGACATCACTGGCCTTTCCATGGAACAGGCTTCCCTGCAACAGGCTGCCCAGAGAGGCTGTGGAGGCTCCTTCTCTGGAGATTCTCCAAACCCACCTGGGTGCCACTCTGTGCCACATGCTCTGGGTGTCCCTGCTGGAGCAGCAGGTTGGACTAGATGATCTCTGAACTAGATGGTCTCTGGAGGTCCCTGTCAACCTCAACCCTTCTGGGATTCCATCCTGACCCAGCTACTCAACCCTTGAAACCTTCCCAAAGCTCCAAAGTTGACAGCTGCCATTTTGCCATTCCCCATACTCAAACAGCTTCCCAAGAAGTCTCTTTTTGCAAGTCTTCCTGGCAGGAACACAAGAGTCTCATACTGGCCCCACTCACGCAGGTAAAAGGGACACTCCTCCCTGACCCTGGCCCTGACCGGCCTGGAAAGGAAATTCTGAGTCCTGCTCCTCATCACTGTGCAGGGGAAGAGCAGACAGCGCAGGAGCGGGTGCAGGGAGAGGAGCCAGGTGAGCCAGCACCAAGAGAGGAGCGCAGGGAAGTGGTGTGATTAAATGCATTAGAAGGATGTAACATGTAAGTGACCACCAACAGCAGCAAGACCAGCTGGATATCTGTACCATGACAGTCATTTTCACAGCAGTCAACAGCAACCAGGTAGAAACAAACTCCAAATTACAGGATACATTTTGTTGGCTTGCCCCTGCTTCCCTTGCTGGCCCTGAGACTTCAGAAATCACTCAGGGACCTCGGAGTTTCTCTCCCCTGGGAGCAGAGTTTGAATCGTGAGCGATACCCACCAGGGCGCGATTCCCTCTTCCTGCGGAACGCGTCTCCAGACTGCAGCGCCTCCAGCAGACTGTCCATCACGCCTGTCCCATCCCCCTCTGGAAAGAAAACAGGATACCCAGTGAAATCCATGCGGCAGAAAAGGGGAGCAGACTCCAGCAGTGCCACAAGGGCTGTCAGGTCTGCTCTGTTCCCAAGCAGTTGTTAAACCCCCGTGTAGGATCTACTGCTGCGCAGACCAACCCGCTCCCAGGTCAGGGCCCTTGGGTGCTGAGGAAGGGGGAATTGGAGCCGGTAACTCAGGCTGAAGCCACAAGGCTGCCCCACAGAGCTGCATGTGACCAAAGCCATGAATCAGCCCTGGGAGAGCTCACTGGGCTATTTACGACCTTCCCCTGTTTGCTTTTTAAAATAAACTTGCAAAGAAATCTGAAACACCTGGGTTGGACTAGACGGGCCTGATGCCAGACTGGTGCCTTAGCAGAACAGTGAGCAGGAAAGCAGGAGACACGAGTGCTCACGCTGGTGGGCACCAGGCCTCCCTCCCTCTCCGGAATTCTCCCTCCCTCACTGAATCTTTGCCCGTTATATCTTATTGCCCTTGGTGTGTAACTCAAATTTCTGTATTTTATTTGGATGAGAAGTGCCTCAAAAAAACTCTCAAGTTCAGCCCGGTTTCCTGCACCCTCCTAGGCTTTGCACCTTTCTGGAGGTGACTCACCTAACCCCCATGTTTAAAGCTCTTAGCTTTAAACTAAGCTGCTGTTTCCACACACAGAACTTCACCTCATTAATATTATTCATTTTTTTCTTACAGAGAAGATATCCCCAAACCTCCATCTCTCAGCATCCACCTCCAGAACATTTCTTTCCATTCGCAGTTCTCTTCACATGCTGACAGCAGGGCTGTGCAGCGAGTCCAAAGCCTCTGCTGTCCCCAAACGCAGCTGCATCTCATACCTGCGTTCATGTCTATCAGCTGTTCCCTCTTCTGCAGCTTCTCCAGCCGCTCCTTCTCGGCCTTCTCCTTGGCCAGTTTCGCTCGGCGCATCTTCTCCTCCGTTTCACGCCGCTTTTGGTTGTCCTTGACAGCTTGCTGCAACAGGAGAAACAGATGCTCAGGGGCTGCATGATGGAGGGGAGGTGGGGAACAAAACCAGCACACCAAGGCAGTTAACAATACTCTTTTGAAGAGGAAAATTCTGGTAGATCTGGGCAACGAAGGAAACAGAGCCCAGGCTAGTAGGAAGAAAAAAGCATCTTGCTCACCAGAAACGTGTTTTTAAAGTTGCTCAGATCCATGAAGAAGTCCTCAATAGAGGTTTTCTTGGGGTCGAACAGGAAGTACTGCCCTAACTCCTTGAAGAGGTTTTCCATGTTTGAGTGCATCATACGCAGCTTGTCGTACTGCTCCTTGGCATCCTTAATAAAGCTGTGAAATCCCAGAGTCAAGGAAAGAAGCCAGTTGCTAGGCAGGAAGCATCAGAGCGAGCAACAGGACGACAGAGATCCCTCCTCGTGGCAAACAGTGTCCCTGGGGCAAACGCAAAATCCTCCCAGGCCACAGAGCACCACTCTTTAGGCAGCACGACAAAAAGGCCTTTTTCCATAGAGGACCTTCTGCTCTCTCCCTCCTCACACCTTGCTGAGCCTTGCAAATCCCTTCTACCATAACTCACACCCACTTTGGAACATTTTCCTTCGTACAAGCAAAAGGATATTGTCATTTTTTCCACAAATTTGTCCTTTTCATCAGTAGTAACTGGAAAATTCTCAGTGTCGCGCTCCACATCTGAAATTTGTTTCTTCATCATGTCCAAGTTTTTCTGCAAATTCTCAGCAGACACTGAAAAGAGATCCCCCAAAAGACATACAGAATGAGAGAATGACCTTCCCAAAATATTTGTTGAACGAGGAGCACCGTTTCTATCCTGCAATTGTTGTCAGAACTGTGTAACAGTGACAACACCTTGGATATCTGCCAGAAGGGAGGCTCAACCTTGATTTCGGTTCAGGCAAGTCGTACTCCTCCCACTTGATGATTAACTGCTGCAAAACAGCACTTCAATGAGGAAGATCTGAATGTCAGACCCTTGAGGAAACAGGGTCCTGTCTCCATTTCCTTCCTCCCTGGATACAGCCTCAGCAGCCCCCTGCTCTTTATCCCAACACAAAACAGGGGGTATCCTTCCTTCCAGCCATGGGATCTGCCTGTTGCATTGATGCTTCCCTCACTGCTCTGCACAGAAAAGCACAGCCACGGTGAAAAGGCTTCCACAAAAATAACACTTCCTTGGGAGGCAGCCTCAGACTTTGCAGCCACCTTCCATGGAGCACTCCAGATGCATAAACAACCCTAGTTTTGTTCAGAAATGCCAAGATCCAAAGCCCTGACCCAAGTAGTTCCGAAACCTCCATTTTCTGCTCTCTCCAAAAAGAAAAGGTGAGGGTCCCCTGCCCCTCTGTGGTACCTCGGCTGGCCTTCTCCACGTGGATGAGCTCGTCCGGAAACGTCAGCAGGTTGGGGTAGGACTGTTCACAATGCTCAGCCACAAAGTGCAGCAGCGTTAGCTTCTGATCCGAGGACTTTGTGTCTCGGAGCTGGCAATGAAGAAAAGAACAAACTCATCGAAGGAGCAGGACTGTTCAGCCCACAGTTATCCCCAGTCCCACACGCAGGTTGCTAGGAAATAAACACAGGGTAGGAAGCACTTCCATAAGCTGCCCATGGAAAAGCACTCACCTTGCAGAGGAAGCTGATGTTGAATCCAAAGGCACCGGCGTTCCGGGAACCGGCGTTCATGAAGTTGCCCACGAGCAGAATAAACTCCAGGAGGCCGGAGAAGCTCTTGCTCTTGCGCACTTCTTCGCAGGCCGCCGTCACCGAAACAATCTCAGGCTTTATGTTCTCTATTTGCTCATTGAACTGCAGCTTGAAGAGGATGGCATTGAGACGGGGTCGAAGGCGAGAAACTGAGCTAATCTGAGAAGGGAATGGCAAAGGAAAAGTGTTCACAAATAAAGGGGGAGAATTGAGGTGGTCTGAGAAAGAAGGGGGTGAAAACAGACGGTTACTCACCACGAGTTACAGCTCTCTATAGACCCACTCTCTAGGAGCGGGCGTCAAACCTCCAGAGTCCCAAAGACACCGCAGAGCAGCTGCTCTTCAGAGACTCACACCCATGCACACACCAGGTGTCTGGTGTTAACCCACACACATCCTAGCTCAGACCCCCTCCACCAAGCAAAAGATGGAGCCCAAGCGGTGGAGGAGGCGGGTGAGATGCACAGGATGCACCAGCACACCACGAGCAGCGCTCAGGAGCCTTTTCCATTGCACAAAATCACCGCTGCCATTCGCTCTTGCAAGATCAAATCCAGGAGACACTAAAGCGATGCCGACGCTCCCACGGCTCAGACACCTGCAGCCCTTGTTTGGTGCTGACCCGAGTCAAAGCGCAGGGCAGCTACAAGCACTGAGATCAGCAGCAGGGTAAGGCACAAGGTTTTGTTTCGAGAGAGATGGAAGAGGCTTCTCCTGACAAGCACGGACTGATCTGGTCCCACGGGACCATCACCAGCCCAGCGGGGCCACAGGGTCCCTGGGCAGGGCCCACGTGTCTCTGAAGCGGCCGCAGCTCCTTAGGCCGGGCCTTCTGCTTCCAGCTGCCGACGGCCGCGCGACCCAACGCGGACAGTCACCAAACAGCAGCGCTAGATAGATGATATTCAGAGACAGCACAAGGAGTGCACGGGTGGAGTGGGACGTCACAGAAGGAACAAAGCAGTGAAAACTGCCATTTCTTCATTAGAGAGAGTTGCTGATGCATCTCTCTGTCCAAGCACAGGGAAAGGCACTCACCACAACCCCAAACTGCTCAGGTTCTGCCAGGTCATTGTACTCATCCTTCAGCTCTGCCAGCATCTTCAGTTGCTCTGGCTCTGGCATTTGCTTAATCAAGTTCTACAAGAGAAATGCAGACATTTGGGCTTGCCTGGTTCTGGTACCTCTGTCCCAACACATGCAACCGATGGAGACGTCCGAATGACAGAGAAAAAACCGCTTTGTTACACTCTGTGCTCTTCCCACATGAGAAAGGAAGGAGATAACAACTTCAGAGAGGCTCTGCCATGAACTGGGTCACTCTCTGCCAAACTGCAGCACAGCAAAACCGGGAAGTAGCCACCTACAAAAACCTCCCTCCCACGTGTGCGCAGGGCACGCACTCACCTGAATCATGGACTCGGTGAGCACGGCTTCATTCACCTCCAGGATGACGGTCTTGATTTCTTCATAGGGCATGCGGAAAGACCCCAGGAAAATGGCTGCCAGAACCCAAAACAGAAACACACAATCTTTAGGGACAAGGCCCTGCCCAGCGCTTAGAAAGAAATGGCCCCAAATCCTGTCACACTCACATAGGTTCTGGGCAGTCTTTGAATCCAGGACTTTCAGCTCCTTGACTTTTTTCTTCTGAGTTGTCTTTTTCTCCTCTCCACCCTCCTGCTCTTTCTTGGCTGTGAATACACAAAATACAGGTAAGATGTAAAAAGCTCAAGTGCAGGAGCTTTTCTTCATGTGCTGTCTGAACCGAACTGTCCTAGCAACTGACGACAAAGCTCTGGTGAGTCTCTATAACAAGGCTTTACGAAAGGTTAGAGGAGGCTCAGAGGGCTGCTCTCCTTGCCCTTGTCACAGACACAGACAGTCTTTACTTCACAACAACAACAACAAAAAAAGAAATAACCTTGCTAAGGACAGCTATTGCCTTAAATAAAACCAGAGACTTCAGGCCAAGATGACAACATCCACCCGTACATCGAAGCACAATGTAAGATGGTGAATGTGCAAAATTTGTGGTGTCTGGCATAGGAAAGGAGCCACAGCAGATGCCCAGTGTCATCCCAGCTCCTGGACCTTCTTGCAGCCTGTGAATAAACCCCCCCTCTACCTTACACCAGTTTCTCAGGCTTCCTCCCTTCTCACACAACATATTTTGCAAGTGACAATCCAAGTTTAACATGAACTCCCCAAAGCCCCATTCCTCTGAATTCACAACCCTCCTGTAGCAGGCCTGTCTCACCCTTGACACCCCCTGTTCCTCCATGCCTTGGAGCACCCCTGGAACAACCCTCATTTCCCTCCTCGCCCTGCTTGCCTCTTCCTGCCCTGTTTATACCTCGCAGCTCTCACCTGGTCTCAGAACATGAACACAGAACCAGGGCACCGTGCACATTCCCAGAGAAACCCCCTGCTTTCCCAGGCGGGACAAGAACCATGTGTGATGGGAGTCAATAGCACCAGGGAAAAAAGCCCAGGGAAGGAGCGGTTTTGGGAACTAA